GACGGTACGTTCACACTATATTGTCAGACTGCTGAACACATTTTTCAATCATCATAATCCCAGGGCACACAGCCCAGGCACACAGGGCCTTAAAACACAGCACCGAGGTGGACCTAACAACCTTTGTCACTTCCACACATCGTATACATCGTACAACCAACAAAAAAATACGCAAAAGTGATTTCATATTGTCGATGAAATGTTTTAGGCCTATATCAAACCATTACCTAAACCACGTTTCAAGCCATGTGCTTCCTTATATCAGAAGCCTGATTATGGCAAAATATCCGCGTATCGGTTACGCATTCGCCACGTATGTTACAGCCATAAACATACGCAAGAGTGAAATTAATTGCAGCGATATCAGAATGTTCATGCCAAATGTGTTGGGTTTCTGATTTATATTGTGGTAGACTTTTATCGTTACTTGTTTTCTACGTTTTCTGATCTCTTCACATTCTTCAATTAGAGTTTGATTATAGGCAAAAAAAAAAAAAAAAACATTTCATCGAAAATATGAAATCAGTTTTGCGTATTTTTGTTGGCTGTAAATGGTTTATGATGTATGATGGATGATATATGATGATTTGTTGGCCGTATGATGTGTGGAAGTACCCCATCAGTGCCGTGTTTATTAATGCCTGTGTGCCCTGTGATTATGATGATATAATCCAGTTATAACGTGGTTTCGGTAATGCGTATCGGCATACGCCACGTACGTTACAGCCATAAAAATACGCAAGATTGAGATTAATTGCAGCGATATCAGAATGTTCATCAGCTTCTTCCCTGTAGCAATCCGCTGAGGCCCGCGCAGGCATGCATCTATCAGCATATCATAAATATAATGGTGGGTGCGCGCGCGGGGGACCGACGCAAGAATACGACGGCGGACGGCGTCCGTGAAACGTGATGGTGAACACAGGCACTTGGAGCGTTTCAATAAAATATAATGCTAAATATAATGCTAGTGTGAATATTATATATTTATGTGTCAGTGTGCAGCGGCAGCCATGGAGGCAGCCAGCGTTTGTTGGAGATGAGCATTTGGACGGCATTTGCAGGAAATTGTCGGCAATAATAGGCGAAAGATAGTAGAGAAACATTAAGACTTTGGTAGTAAAATAGATTTCGTATTTATTTAGCATTATATTTTATTGAAACGCTCCAAGTGCCTGTGATGGTGAACGTTTGCATTACGAAAGTGATCGATGATGGGCGGGCGCGGGGGGGGGGCGTTGCGTTCGGAGATTGCCCGGGAAAGCGGTGCGGCCGAACGTGACGGTGGTTGGGGGTGAGATGTCGGTGTGCTGTCGTTGCTATGCACCGGTGGGGTGGTGCGGCAACGAGGAGCGTGGTAGCGTGATTGCGTCAGTTAACTACACTTCTCTCACCACGCAATACTGGGATGGCTTCACACAGAATACTACTCCACTACCTGCTCCCTACGCACTCAAACCACTACTGTCTGCTCACAAAGACCACTATACTCCAATTCACATACACTACTACGCCCTACACACTCAAACCACTACTGTCTGCTCACAAAGACCACTATACTGCAATTCACATACACTACTACGCCCTACACACTCAAACAACTACTGTCTGCTCACAAAGACCACTATACTGCAATTCACACATACCTCTATTCTCTACCTCACACAGACCACTACTCCCTACCCCACACAGACCACTACTCCCTACCTCATGCAGACCACTACACCCTACCTCACACAGACCTCTACTCCCTACCTCACATAGACCTCTACTCCCTACCTCACACAGACCACTACTCCCTACCTCACACAGACCACTACTCCCTACCTCACACAGACCTCTACTCCCTACCTCACACAGACCTCTACTCCCTACCTCACACAGACCTCTACTCCCTACCTCACACAGACCACTACTCCCTACCCCACACAGACCACTACTCCCTACCTCACACAGACCACTACTCCCTACCTCACACAGACCTCTACTCCCTACCCCACACAGACCACTACTCCCTACCTCATGCAGACCACTACTCCCTACCTCACACAGACCACTACTCCCTACCTCACACAGACCACTACTCCCTACCTCACACAGACCTCTACTCCCTACCTCACACAGACCACTACTCCCTACCTCACACAGACCACTACTCCCTACCTCACACAGACCACTACTCTCTACCCCACACAGACCACAACCCCCTACCACACGCAACCCCCCTACTCACTCTCTACTCACACACGCAGGTGTTTTCACATAAGCCACACTATGCTAACAGAGATGCCAGTAGCAACTCCGACATCCGCCTACTAACTCCCATGGGAGCAGGCTTTCTATACCGCAGCATCACACATACTCCAAGCCTCCTCTAAGATAGGCGCCGTGCTAAGTGAATCTCTAACTGACTCTCGAAACGGCCTAACCTAACCCTGCTTATGCAACTCCCTGTAACATCAATGTAGCCGCGCGACGCTGCCTCGCGCAGACTATCTGGTCACCAAACAACTACCAGTCTATCTCCACTGACTAATTAATGTAACGTATAAAATAGACGTTTACATCATCTCCCTTTGCCCCAAAACGATGACTAGGTAGTCATCGCTTCAGCGTCCTCGCTGCTCTATACTTTAACCTGAACCTAACCAATTCCAAAAAAAATACTACCCTGATATCATCCTAACTCAACCAAACATGAGAAACGTCTTTCTGTCCGATTAAACCACCCACAATCAATACCCATAACAATAATCAAAATACAATAAGAAAGCACATATGAAGCGTAGAAAACAAGTAACGATAAAATTCAACCAAAATATAAGTCAGAAACCCAACACATTTGGCGCACGCACGCACGCACGCACGCACGCACGCACGCATGTCGCAGGTGTGTCATGGTGGGTGTCGCAGGTCGTGGGGGTCGTGGGTCATGCTGCGGGGGGGGGGTGTCACTAATCATGCAGGAGGTCATGTTGTTGTTCTGGCATCTTGTCATGTGGTGGTGGGTCGTACCGTGGTCATGGGGGCGGGCGGGTCATGCAGGCTTCACGCAGCGAGTTACAGAGCAGGTTCATCATCTATATCACGCTCTTTATCATCTAGAATGCTGTGCTGCGGCTGAAGCCATCCCGTTGCCCTGGTCTGCTGCCCTGGTCTGCTGCCCTGGTCTGCTGCCTTGCCCTGTTGCAGTGCTCTGCTGAGACTGAGGGCGTAGCGGGGGCAGACAGACAGACAGACAGACAGACAGACAGACAGTGTATTCATGCGATGCTCGTGGCGGCTGCGTTCTTCGTGAGAGACTGAACCTCCCCCTCAACCTCATCCTCATCCCTCCCCCTCATCGCTATCGCGAGCGACAGAACCGAGTCGCCAAAGGCCATCGCGGGGCTTATCCCTAACCAGGCGTGCTGCGATGACAACGCCATGCATTAGATAACAGTGACGGCATTTGTAATGCGAGGGTGTGCGGCTGCCATCAGCACAGGCCGTAGCTGGTTGCTGGCTTCACGGGAATTCATCGTTTCCAACCCGTACGTGCGTTCAGTAGTACGATAGTCCATAATACAATAATCGATTTTGGGATAATCCGTATTACGATATTCTGTGGTACAATAATCGATACTTAGATATTTCATAGTACAATAATCAATATGAAGATATTCCATAGTACAATAATTGATATGAAGATATTTCATAGTGCAATAATCGATACTTACATAATCCATATCGCAATTATCAACAGTAAGATAATCCTTGGTACGATATTCCATAGTACGATATTCCATAATACAATAATTGATACTAA